CTGCAGATGAGCTAGAGAGCTGTTTGGCACATTAATCGAACGACGATCATCATAAGTGCTAGTCTCAAGTATCTAGATGCCCAGACTCGGTCTGCTTCGAGAGCTGCGCCCGCAAAACTATTCGCACTCTACCATCTGTTAGAGATGGCGATGATGAGTGTCTTGATGTAACTCGAACTGCAAATGAGCTACAGAACTGTTGGGCACAACAATCGGACGAATATGATCAGGAACGTTAGTTGCAAGTATCTACGTGTTTGAAATTGGTATTCTACCAGAGCTGGAACCAAAACAACTATTCGTACTCCTGCTCCTCGCCCTAGTGCGAGATTGCGGCGCCCGCATTCCGTTCATGTGTATCGAGGAAGCTCTACGAGTTCCCGGCGGTGACCGAGCTTGACAGTTTACCGGCCAGCGCGGACAATGTGGTGACCTGGGGTTTGTGTTTTTGAAGATTGTGATAGATTTGACGATTTGTTCTGAGAATCAAATGCTGGTTCCTCGCAGTCGATCATTGCGCGTTCGATGGTGCAATTCTCAGGACTCTAGGTTCAGTATTTCGATCAACACGCTTGCGGGAAACGTCGGTCGTCGAGGCGTACTGTTCGAGATGATGCCGGTTTTGTGAATGTAACTCAAGGCAGCAGAAAGCTACGTGGCTCTGGCTTCAACAGCAGTATACCTCGTAGACCTCTCCGACGAGATGAACTAAGAGGAATTCGGGCGTGGAGTGGAGCTAGTTGGCCGACCGGGCCAGAACGGGCAATGCTTTTACTTGTTTTTTTTTTTGTTGTTTGAAGATTGTCAGAGATTTGAACATTTGTTTTGGGAATCCAGATTTTCCTTCCTGCAATCGATCATGGCGCGTTTTATGGTGCAATTCTCAGGGCTGTAGGTGCCGACGTCGTATAACATTCGAAAACTACATTTTACGATTCTTCTAGCTGAAATTGAGAAGCGCTATTTCCTCGTTATCTGGGTGATTATATGCGTGTTTAGAGCTTTGCGAGGGTCCCGGTGGTAACGTTGACGGTTTACCGCCAGCTCCCAGTACATGAACAAGATGAGGGCGCGGCAATCTCGCATTCAGCGCGCGCAGGGTGCGGCTTCATGGAGAAGGACGTGGAAGAGAAGAAAGCGTGAAGAGGAAGGAGATGGATGGGGGCTGGGGAGAGAAGGAGGAGAAGAAGGAGCAGGCGGAGGATAATAAGGAGGAGGAGGAAGAGGAGGATGACGAGCATGGGTGGAGGGAAGAAGAGGGGCGATGGTGACAGGGAGTTGGCGGTGCACTGTCAACCAGGTTACCGCTGGGACCCCCGTAGAGCTCTGAACGCGCAAATGAGCACCCAGATCACGAGAAAATCGCGATTCCAAATTTCAGCTGGAAAACTCGTAACATTTATTTTCTGAGTTTTCAATAACGTCGCTTCCCAAAAGTGTTTTGATCGAAATACGGCACCTAGAGCCCTGGGAACTGCGCCGCGAAGCGCGCCATGATCGACTGCAGGGATTCCGACCTCCAACATCTATCATGCGACTTTTCACACCCGCCTGCACCTGACGACTCCGACTTTGCACTCCCGTTTCCGACTATCCACCTGCAGCTGCCGCCGACACGGCATCCCGACCTTTGGCATCAAGCGTCAAACTTCCCGCTTCCACCTCCGCTTATTTCCCACGTCGCGGATGCAGTGACAAGAGTGTCCAATCCATGTATAACATCCTTGCGTAAACCTGCCGGCATTCTGCCACGAAGGGGCTCGCGTATATCAGTGGAGCGGATGCCAGTGCACGGGTGGGGCAGCAACGACCAGAGCACGACCGAAGCACTATGGGGGCATGCGGTGGCGGTGCTGTCAACGATCGCGGGCAATGTTTAAACCGTTGGGCGTCGACGGAGAGACTGCGCATCATGAGTGCGTACTTCAACAAGCATGCACAGCACGTGGCCGCGTGCGCGTCACCAGAACAGCATCAACACCAAATTGATTTTGTCCTTGGAAACAGGCGCATTTGGCGAGAGGCAACCGACTGCGAGGCGACTACCGACATCGATCTTGGCTCCGACCACAAGGCCATGCAGTTCACATTCCGAACGCCAAGGCGTCAGCGACGATGCAGCGGTGGGCGAGATGCGCCAGACCGACAGGAACAGGACCGGTGACCACGATCCCGCCGTCCAGCTTGATTGCCAGACGACATCCCGGGTTGTAGGCGCGCTCTCGCGGACCAACTGGACAAGTTATTGCTCGACGCCCAACTTAAGCTCAAATGCGAGAGCATCGAGGCCGCCATCGCCGAAACTCTTCTGAGGCGTCAGCCGGCAGGACAATCCGGCGCGCGAAGTGCGATGCCAGCGAGAACCAGCATGATCAGTTCACGACTGCTTCAACAACGACGTGATACAGATGCCCATGACGTTCTCACTGAGCACAAGGACCCCAAGCGAATCAGCGGGATCAGAAGCTACAGAAAGAAAGGCGTGATTCTGGGCATGGGCGATGCCAGTGGCAACGCGCAGCACGACAGACGGGCAATGGCGCGCCTTTGCCGATTTTTACGCGAAGTTGCGCAGCGACGCGCAGGAGGACACTTGAAGGCACAACGAGCAGAACGAGACAGATTCGACCCTTCCCTTTACCGACTGGGAAGTGTCTGACGTACTGCGCCAGTGGAAAGCCGCGCGTGCTGCAGAGGCACATGGGACCTCGGCCGAAATGCTAGAGGAGGGCGCGGGCACTCTGAGGAGAGTCTGTATTGACGCGTTCAACGACATGGTACGGCCAGATTCGCCCCCTCCCGCCAGCTGGGATCACAGTGATGAAGGTATTACGCACGAGTGGTGACACAATGGGGCCAGATAACTACCGAGCCATAGCAGGCATCCCGATGATCACCAACAAATGTTCGAAATTACTGTGTAACCGATTGGGCGATGCACTAGATTGCCGACAAAGCTCAGACCAAGCGGGTTTCCGACCCCGGCGCGGCGCGACCGACCACCTGTTCACCGCGCAGGTGCCGATATGGATAGCGGCCGTCGTCTTTTAGAAAGCGTTCGACAGCATGACGTACGCTAGCATATGTGAAGCTCTCAGAGAATAACAAGTCCCCATATCATATACCGCTTTGACTCAAAATCTGTGCGGCGAGCGCACTGGGTCCATCCAGACTGACCGGTGCAGCAAGACATTCGACGTCGAGGAAAGGACGAGACAAGGCGACCCTCTAAGCTCACTTCTTTTCAATGCTGATTCTGAGCACGTTGTGAGACTGGTGGAGGGATCATGGGCGACGCATCGACGTGGCATTGTCTTGCTTTCACGCGGAATCGGTTTATTGAACAATTTGCGCTTCGCCGACGATATCCTCTGATCTCGCACTCATGCGACGACGTTGCGACGATGCTGTCCGACCTCAGCACCGAAGCCGCCAAAACGGGCCTCCACGTCCATCCAGACAGTTACAAAGTATTACACAATGGACACCGGCAAAAACGAGCGCGAGAGCCACCGAGCCACGTATCCGTGAACGGCATGAAGATAGAGGTGCTGCTGCCATACCAAGGCACGAAATATTGAAGGCGAAAGCTCTGTATCAGCGAGTATCACACAATAGAGATCGAAAGCCGGATTGCCGCGGCATGGAAAAAGTTCTATATCTTCAGTTCAGAGCTTACGGGGAAGAGTTTTTCCATGAATAATCGTATCCGACTTTTCCAGGGGACGGTTATACCAACCATGCTGCACGGGTGCGAAGCGTGGGCGGGCCTCGCAGGAACTGGAAAATAGAGTTCGCAGAACGCAAAGGCAATGCTTCGAATGATGATATGGACCCCACGGCGAAACAAGGTGAATCTAACGGGAGAGTTGCTTCCACGCGACACCAACCGAAATAGCCACGCCGGCGCAGCAGATGACGCTGATATTTTTTCTTGGAGCGACGGTGGAGTGGACATTTCCATCGACGGCGCTGTGGACGACGACCTTGAACCTTGGCTGGAATGATCAATCGTGCGACGCAGCAGGCTGAACATCGCATTTCGTATATTGGGATCGATGATTGGGCCACCGCAATCAACAAGAACAGCGTCGTCCACACATTGACAGGCTCGGCGGAATTCCTGCTGTTCCTCCTCATTCTGCGCTTTCTGCTTCTGCCCGGCCAGCTGCTTCTCTTTCTTCTCCTGCTTCTCCTCCTCTTGCTCCTCCCCCAGAGTTCTACTCCTGCTTTCCTCATGCTGCTCCTTCCTCTTGTTCCTCCTTCTTCTCCTCTTCCTCATCCTTTTCCAGGGGCTTCGTCCTCGGACCCCCCCAGTGTCTCCAGAGGTTTAACCAGGCCGAACCACGTCAAAACGTCTCGATCGGCGTTGTCGTCCTCCTTCTGCTCATCCTCTTCTTCGATTCCTCCTCTCCTCCTTTCCTCCTCCTCCTCCTGCTCCGCCTAATCCTCCTCCTCCTCCTCCTCCTCGTCTTCTCCTATGCAAGAGGTCCCATCGTGCCGAGGCTAAACGAAACTTTCTGCACTAGGCGCGTGCGTAGAATCGGCGGGCCTTTGCAGGTTCAATGGGTTCGTTTGTACCTACGTTCCGCGCTCTGGTGGCTGTGTGGGGACACCTTCAGCGCGACAGGCCCGTCGGGCCGGGCTTGAAACCGGTGCCGTGCGTTCTTGCTTTTTTCATCTTGGACCCGGGAACTTCCGAAGAAGACGCTGTTCCATTGGCTCTTGTCCATTATGGCGTGTACCACACCACCGATAGCTTCCAGTTCACCCCGACAGCAACGGGGGAGTCGACCCGGAAGTTGCTCCCCCGCTGGGTTAAGAGGGGCGCGGGGAAGTTGCGTGCCAGAGGCCTCATTTATGACGATCACTGATGTCACAACTGCTGCCTCGACGCGTCAGTGGTGTTCGGCGCAGTGCCTCAGCCCTCCCTCGTCCCCTCCCTCCTCGGCCCCTGTCCTGCGCGGCACCCCAGGCTGCGCCTGGCGGCACGTTGCCGCAGCCATGTCTGCAGTCAAGCGGAGGCCGTCCGCCAAGCGCCCTCGTTTCCTCCCAGTGCCGTCTGTGGGCGGGCCGCCATGGCGGGCCGGCACGAGCAGGCCTGCAGCCGACGCTCCGCGCAAGAGAGAGGGAGGAGAAACAAGAGGATCAGGATAAGGATGAGCACGGCGATGACGCTTGTGGTGGTGATGGTGATGGTGTGCTGCGATGGTGATGGTGATGATGACGATTCTGCTCATGACTATGGTGATGGTTATGTCGATGGTGATGGTGGTGGTGACGACACGATGACCATGATGATGGTGACGATGATGATGAGGACGACGACGATGATGATGATACGATGATGATGATGAGGACGTTGATGGCGGTGGTGCTAATCATGATGAGGATGATGGTGATGATGATGCTGATAATGGTGATCACAGTGATGGTGATGATGGTGATGGTGATGGTGATCATGTTGCTGATTGTGATGGTGATGGTGATGGTGATGGTGATGGTGACGATGATGATGATGATGATGATGATGATGATGATGATGATGATGATGATGGTGCTAATGACGATGGTGATGGCGATGGTGATGGTGGTTGGGACGACGACGATGATGATGGTGATGATGACGGCGACGACTGTGATCATGATATAATGATGGGTCGGTGATGGTGATGAGGACAAGTATGATGCTGCTGCTGAGGATCATGATGATGATAAGGATGATTATGGTGATGGTGATGGTGATGATTTGCTGATGATGATGGCGATGGTTATGGTGATGATTATGCTGCTAATGACTGAGGTAATGGTGATGGTGATGATGATGGTGACGACGACAACGATGGTGACGGTGACCTTGATGATGATGTGACGATATGATCGATGTCAATTGGAACAATGATGATGCTGCTCACGATGATGATAGCGATGATGCTGATGATGGTGATGGTGTTGGTGATGACGTGGCTAATGATGATGGTGATTGTGGCGGTGATGATGCTGCGAATGACTATGGTGATGGTGATGGTGCTGGTGATTGCGACGACAACGATGATGATGGTGATGACGGCGGCGACGGTGATGATGATATAATGATCGGATGGTGATGGTGATGAGGACGAGCACGATGCTGCTGATGCTGACGATGGGAGTGATGATGACGCTGATGATGATATGGTGATGGTGATGATGATGAGGACATTGATGATGACGATGATGATTTTGGTGCTCATGATGACTATTGTAATGATGATGACGATTATGATGATGATGATCATGGTATTGCTCATGCTGATGGTGATGGGGATGGAGATGCTGATTCTGCTAGTGGCTGTGGTGATGGTGACCGTGATCATCATGGTGATGGTGGTGGTGGTTGTGACGACGACGACGACCACAGCGACGACGACGATGATGATGCAGATGGCGATGATGACGATGATGATGATCATGGTGATGATGTCGATGTGATGATATGATGATGGGGACGATGATGCTGATGCTGCTGATGATGGTGGTAATGCGGATGATGATGATGATGATGATGATTCTGATGGTGTTGCTGATGGTGATGGTGATGGTAATGATGATAGTGCTAACGACTATGGTTTTGGTGATGGTGATGATGATGCTGTTGGTGGCAACGACGACGAAGATGACAATGATAATGATGACGATAGGGATGACGGCAATGATATGGTTGCGACGGGGACGATGATTATGACGAAGCATATGACCATTATGATGATACTAATGGTACGATGATGGTGATGATGATGTTGCCAATGGTGATGGTGATGGTGGTGATGATGCGGTTAATGACTGTGGTGATGGTGATGGTGATGGTGGTGGTGGTAACGACGACGTCGACCATTATGATGATGATGATGTCGATACTGACGTAGCTGATGATCATAATGGTGACCCAGATGATAGGATGGGATGCTGATCATGATGATGATGCTTATTATCATGATGATGATGATGATGGTGATGATGATGCTGATGATTGTGATGATGATGTTGCTGATGGTCATGGTGATGGTGATGATGATGCTGTCAATGGCTGTTGTGATGGTGATGGTGATGGTGATGGTGATGGTGGTTTTGACGACGACGATGACGCTGATGGTGATGTTGATGGTGATTGTGCTTCTAATTTGATGATGATATGCGTAGATGATGATCCGGATGCTGCTGCTGATGATGATGACGGTGGTTGTGATGATGACGGTTATGATGATGCTGATGCTAATGCTGATGATGATGAAGACAATGTTGACGACACTAATAAATCTGAAGATGATGACGACGATATCAATGACGATGATGGTGGTGATGATGGTGATGATGATTATGATGAGGATGTTTATCACTATTTTCATTATTATTATTATTATTGGTTTCGCGCTACTATGTTGGTTATTATTCTGAGCATGATGGCCACGATAATTATGATGGTGAGGACGATGATGACGATGCTGCTTCCGATGCTGATAATGGTGATGATGGTGATGATAATGCTGACGATGATGATGATGATGATGCTGATGATGATGATGATGATGATGATGCTGATGCTGATGCTGATGCTGATTCCGATGATGCTGATTCTGATGATTCTGACGATGATCATGATGATGATGCTGCTGCTGCTGATGATGATGATGATGATGATAATGATGATGATGATGATGATGATGATGATGATGATGATGATGATGATGATGATGATGATGATGATGACGTTGATCATGATCTTGATCATGCTGATCATTATGACGCTGATGCTGATGCTGCTGTTGATGATGATGATGACGACGATGATGACGACGACGATCATGATAATGACAGTGATTTTGCTTATGATGATGTCGATGATGTCGATGATGCTGAGGCTGAGAGGAGGAAGAGAGGAGCTTCCCAGGGGGCCTACAGGGCCCTGGGGCGCCGCCCTGAGGGCTCCCAGACGGTTCCAGAGGCCGCCAGGACAGACTCGAGACCGCCCAAGGCGCGCCAAGATGAATTCAAGAAGAGCCACAAGCCCTCCAAGACGCTACAAGAGGGCTCCATGAGCCCCCCCCAAGAGAGCCCCGAGAGGTAGGAATCGTCGCATTCCCTGGGGAAGATGTGCATTTTCAGTACACTCGAGTTTCGGGTTTCCAATCGTGCAGAACAAGGCGGCCCAAAAGGCCCTCAACCGCCCTAAGCAAGCCCAGGGGCCCCCAACAAAGTTCGAACACGACCCAAGAGCGCCCCAAGAGGCGGCCCAGGAACCGCCCATGACGGCCCACGACAGTCCCAAAGAGCCCCAGGAGGGGCCCAGATGGCTCCAGGACGGCCTTCGACACCCCAAGATGGCACCCAAGTTCGCCCCCAAAGCGCACAAGATGCCCTCAAGACGCATTGGCCCAAGACCGTCCAACACTGCGTCTGGGGCGCTCTGGCGCCACCTGAGACGCCCCCAGACGGTCTGAAGACGCGCCAAGAGGCCCCCAAGAGGCTTCCAAAGAGCCCCCCTAGGGGCCCCAGGAGGCAAACATCACCCCATTCCCGGTGGAAAACAACAGTTTTTAGTCTTGACAGCTTTCCAGTTTTGACAGGTTCTGAAACAGTCCAACAGGCGAACAAGGAGGTTCCAATACCGCCGTTTCCATGCTGTTCGGTATACGTCAGTTGGGGCCCGACCAGAAGAAACCTTCCACAAGAAACCCAAGCCTGAGACCCCAGGGCGCCCACTGATTTTTGGCGGGGGCACGTCGCGCTTTCCAAAGCAAAGCCGCCGAAACCCAAGTACCCCAGGGCACCTTGGAGGCGAGCAGGGTTGGCGCCGCCAGCGCCGCGGGCGCGGCGGGCGCCGCTGGCGCCGCGGGCGGCGCTGGCGCCGCGGGCGCCTCGGGTGCCGTGGGCGCTGCGTGCGCCGCGGGGGCGGCGGGCGCCGCAGGTTCCGTGGGTGCCGCGGGCGCTGCGTGCCCGCGGGCGTCGCGGGTGCCGCGGGCGCAGCGGGCGTTGTGGGCGCCGCGGGCGCCGTGGGCGCCGCGGGCGCCGCGGGCGCCGCTGGCGCCGCGGGCGCAACGTGCGCTGGGGGCGCCGCCAGCGCCGCGGGCGCCGCGGGCGCCGCTGGAGCCGCTGGCGCCGCGGGTACCGTGGGCGCCGCCAGCGCCGCGGGCGACGCGGGCGTATTGGGCGCCGCGTGCGCTGCGGGCGCCGCGGGCGTCGCGGGCGCCGCGGGCGCAGCGTGCGCCGCGGGCGCTGCCCCGCTTCAATTTGTGCCTGTGGCGATCAGTCGCTCACCCAGGGAAGAGTCAGCAGCAGCCCGCGTGGCAAGGGGCCCAGAGTGGAGCGGGGGTGGGAGGTGGGACGGGGCTGCCGCGCGCCCGCCTGTGGGCCCCGCGCCCAGGCCCCCGCCCAAAAGGCTGCCGCCGCCGCCGCCCCGACAACCAGTGCAGCCACCAGCGCGAGCTACGACGGCCCGACCACCGCAGGGACCAGCAGCAACACCACTGGCAGGACCGGCAACGACGCCAGCGACACCGCGACGCCGACCGGCAGCAACGCGACCATCACGACCATCAACTACACCCTCACCGCCGCGACGGCGACCAGCAGCAACAGGGCCCGAGGTGGGGCGGGGCCGCCGCGCGCCCGCCTGCGGGCCCCGCGTCCGGGCCTTGGACAACCCCAGAGTTGGAGAGCATGAATCAAGGAGCGTTGCGAGTGTGCTTGCGGCGATCAGTCGCGCACCCAGGGTAGAAGATGGTAATGACCTTCCAGTCCATCCGCCGCCCCCTGTGGAGAGTCCCGAGGCCCCTCTTCCCGCTGTGCTTGCGGCGATCCGTCGCTCACACAGGGGAACATCCAAAATAGTTTCAAACCATGACAATGCGCTTGCGGTGATCAGTCGCACAACCCCGGGTGGAACATGGGAGAGACGAAGCTCCTCCCCCCGTCGCGCGACACACAAGGGGAGGCATCGGAAAGCGGCATCGCGCCCACTGTCCCCTTTCACACTTACAGGCGTGGCAAGTGGGGGCGACGCTTTCAGAGTTTTTGCAGAAGGAACGATCGAGCACCGCGCACCAGGTGCCTACGACCGGCGCCCTTGGCCCCGTGCTCCTGGGCCCCTCAAAGCCGGATCGATCCACGTGTTCTTCTTACCACGGGTATTCTTTTGCCGAGGCCTTTCGAGTGTTTGCAGCGATGATATGCTTACCGCGGTTATGGTTCTGCCGAGGCATCTAGCGGCAATCCGCTGCTTTCCAAGGGTATCCCTCCACGTGATGGCCGCAAGGGTTCATGACGGTTAGGCTCAGACGAACGTGCCTCAGAGATCAGCTGCCGGCCCCTCCTCCTCGTTCCGCCTGGGGAACCGTCCTGCAGTCTTGTTTCACAGCGCAGCCGCCCCGCGGGCAGCCCAGCGCGAGCGGCCCCTGGTCGCGCTGCCGCTCCTTGCCATCGCCCTCGGGCCCACGCGCGTGAATTGCAGGGTGCCGTTCTGCAGCCTTGCTGGGCTTTCACCTGAGCTCGTCTTTACTTGCTTGGGCCTGGTGCCGTCCAGCGGCTTTTTGGATCGCGCTGGGGTTCTCGGTGTCGGTCGCCCTCGGGCCCGCGCATGTGAATCGCAAGGTGTCATCCTGCGGTCTTGATGTCTTACCTGTGTCAGGTACCCGCTGGGCTCTCACCTGTGGTCGTTTTCACTTGCGTGGGCCTGGTGCAGTCCAGATCGCGCTCGCGGGGCCGTTGGTGTCAGTTGACGCCACCTGAAGTTCTACTTCCCATCGCCATCGGGCCCGCGCGCGTGAATCGCAAGGTGTCATCCCATTGGCGTCCTACCTGTGCGACAGGATCCCTTTGTTGTCGGTGCGCGTGGGCTCCCACCTGGTGCCGTCCAGCGGCGTCTGGATCGCGCTTGCGGGGCTCTCGGTGTCGGTTGGCGTCTGAAGTTTTACCTGTGCGGCGTGGCTGCACGGGATTTTCGGTCATGGCCACTGGTGTTACATTGCCGCCACCCGGTCGTCCAGTTCTACCTGCTCCGCCGAGTTGTCGGTTTACTACTTCACGGGCCAGCTGCGCTGCCTCTTCCTAGGCCACCTGTGCCTCGGCGCCATTTTGTCTGCGACCGTCTCCTACGATGGCGCAGTGGTGTTCGTCTCATCGGTAAGCCTTCACTATACCTTCGTCTCCGTCCTTCCCATGCTCTCGGGGCACTTACTGAGCTTCGCTACGCTCGGGTTCAAGGTCTTCGTGTTCGGCGCGCTCCTCCGCTGCTGACCGCTTGCCGGTTTCGCGGCCTCTTGCGCGCCGTCGTTTTCACTGTTTTTTACTTCGCTACCGGCGCGGCCCGCCGTAGCAGGCTCGTTGGGGGCCCCAAACGGTGTGGTGACCACACCGTGCGGTGAGTCGGTGGGGATTCGGGGTCACCGCACGGTTTTGGGACTCGAGTCCTTCTCCGAGGATGTCTCGGGCGACAGGGGCCTCCAGGGTCCCAAAACCGTGCGGTGACGGACCGTGCGGTGAGGTCTGGGAGGATTTCGAGGTCACCGCACGGTCAATCACCGCACCGTTTTGGGACTCCCAGGCTCGGCGTTCGACCCGTTTCGCGCGTCCGCGGACCAAACGTATCCCCACCAACCCATCCAGAAACGATGCCCATGAAAGACGACTGGGGGAGAGTGGAAGAGACACGCATAGTCAAACAGCGATGGGGGCCCTGGGAGGCTCTGTGGCCATCTCGAGTCGTCTTGGAGCGGTCTTGTGGCCGCTTGGGGCATCCCGGGAGACACTTTAAGCCAGTATGGGCTATCTGCGCCATCTTGGAGGTTATGTTGGGCTCGCTGAGGCTGCGCTGGGGCCTCTTGGGTGCCTCTCGGGTGCCTCTCGGGGGGGCCTTTGGCCTCTTGGGGCCATCTTGCTGGCGGTCGGTCAAAAGAGGGGGGTACTCGATTCCCCCCCCTCTCGGAGGCCACGATCCTCGTGAGGGGTGTCAAACATTGGCCCTCCCAGGGGCCGAACAAGGACCTTTTGACATATTGGTGTCCTTCCCAAAAATCCTCGTTAAGGGGAGGGGGAGTTCCCCCCCCCAAAGCGCAAAAGGGATTATGGAAGAGGAAAGAGACCCTCGTTTGACCACCTGTTGCCCAAAAGGGCTGGTGGCAGGCGCGTTTCGGGCGAGTGACGAGGACGCTTATAAGTGGATGCTGTCGTCTTGCAAGGGCGTTGTGCCATTTGCCTGTTGCAGCTCTGGCCGTGCCTTGGCTCTTGCTGGACCCTGCCGACAAGGAAATGGAACAGGTAGAGAGAGGGACGAGGAGGAGTGGGGTGGATGGAAGGATTGATGATGAGGGTTGGTGATAATGGTCATGCTGGTGATGATTCTGATGTTGACGCCGACGCTGCTGCCGGTGCTGCTGATGATGGCGAGGGTGGTGATGATGCTGATGGTGCTAATGATAATGATAATGATGATGGTCATGCTGGTGATGGTGATAATGACGCTGGTGATGACAATGATGATGATGATGATGATGATGATGATGATGATGATGATGATGCTGATGATGATGATGATGATGATGATGATGACGCTGATGATGATTCTGATGCTGATGATGGTGACATATGATGACGATGATGATGACGATGCTGATGATGATGATCTTGATGGCAACGATGTTGATGATTATGATGCTGATGCTGATGCTGATGATGATGGTGATGGTTGTGATGATGATTATGATGATTATGATGATGCTGCTGATGATGCTGGTGTTGCTGCTGATGATGCTGTGATGATGCTGATGATGATGTTGATGATTTTGATGATGATGCTACTGCTGATGCTGAGGATGATGATGCTGATGATGTGGATGATGAGTATGTTGATGATGCTGATGATGATGCTGATGCTGATGATGCTGACGATGACGATGATGATGATGATGGTGATGATGATCATGATGATGCTGATGCTGCTGCTGATGATGATGATGCTGATGATGGTGGTGATGGTGATGATGATGCTGATGATGATGAGGATGAGGATGAGGATGAGGATGAGGATGATAATGATGCTGGTGATGATGATGATGATGATGATGATGATGATGATGCTGATGCTGCTGATGATGATGATTATGATTATGATGATGATGCTGATGATGCTGACGATGCTGATGATGCTGATGCTGATGATGCTGATGATGATGATGATGCTGATGCTGATGCTGCTGGTGGTCATGATGATGCTGATGATGATGCTGATGATGATGATGATGATGATGATGATGATGATGCTGCTGCTGATGATGATGATGATGATGATGATGATGATGATGATGTGACGACGACGACGGCGACGACGATGAGACGACGACGACGACGATGATGATGATAATGATGATGATGATGATGATGATGATGAGGATGAGATGAGGATGAGGATGATGGATGAGGATGATGATGATGATGATGATGATGATGATGATGATGATGATGATGATGATGATGATGATGATGATGATGATGATGATGATGATGATGATGATTGTGGTGGTGTGTGGTGGTGGGTGATGATGATGGTGATGGTGATGGTGATGATGATGCGCGCCATGCGAGCGGGGAGTAGAGGGGGGCAGGGAGGCGGAGGAGGGGGAGTGGGAAGGGAGAAGGAGGAGGAGGAGGAGGAGAGGAGGAGGAGGAGAGGAGGAGGAGGAGGAGGGAGGAGGAGGAGGAGGAGGAGGGAGGAGGAGGAGGGAGGAGGAGGAGGAGGAGGAGGAGGAGGAGAGAGGAGGAAGGAGAGAGGAGAGGAGGAGGAGGAGGAGGTGGAGGAGGAGCAGGAGGAGGAAGAGGAGGAGGTGGAGGTGGAGGAGGGAGTGGTCCTCCTCTGCCTTCTGGCCAAGCGGCTTGCCCTCAGGGCCGCTTTGTTGTCCTCCCTCCCTTCCTTCCTTCCTTCCTTCCTTCCTTCCTTCCTTCCTTCCTCGAAAATCAGATCCCGAACCTCTCCAGGGATGCGCTCTAACCAGAATTTTGGAACTGATCCAGCCGTGGCGACGAGAGGACCCCCAGGCGCTCAGAGAGGGCGAAACGCGCAGTTCGATCCTCGAAGTTTGATCCTGGACTCTCGATCTTGGGTGCAGCCTTGCCTCCCAGCCTCATTCGTGACGGGCCTGGGGCCCGAGAACGGCGCCCAGAGGCCGGAATCGTCGGAGGTCTGGGAATATCCTTTTCTCCTCTCCTCCTCCCTCCTCCTCCTCCTCCTTCTCCTCCCTCCTCCTCCTCCTTCTCCTCCTCCTCCTCCTCCTCCTCCTCCTCCTCCTCCTCCTTCTCTTCATCCTCCTCGCCCCGCCCTTCCTCCGCGTGCCGCCGCCCGCCGCCCCCGCCCCCCTTGCTGCGCCCGAGAGGTCCTGACGCCCAAGGGGCGCCAGGATGCCAAGGGGCGCGTCGTCGACGACTGGGCCGCCAAGCGCCTCGAGAACGCCGTGTGGCGGATGTGGCGCAAGGCCCACGGGAGGAACGCCAAACCCAGAGATCCAACGTATTGAAAAAAATCATGACGGAGGTCATTTCCCAATCAGAGCTTGCCTCTGTAGGGGTCCTAGCGGATTCATATGGTTTGGTGAGGTGCGTCGCCGATCTCCGGTATCATTTGTATTTTTCGGCCTCTAGGGGCCCTCGCTGGGCCCCGGGACCGTCAGAAAACGACTCAGGACGAAACGCCGGTCCTGGGGAATGGGTCGAGACCTCCGGGGACCCCGTAGTGAAACAGCACGACGTCGGACCTCTGGGAGTGAGGCCTTCGGGCGCTGTCGTCGGTTCCCAGACGCTCTCCAGCCTCGGGATGCTTCTCCGCGGCTGCGCCTCGTCGAGAGCGTTCCCGGGGGGGCTGCGCCGGAGGCCCGGGCTGTGGCCCGAAAGCCACCGGGGGACCCGGTCCTCCGACCGACGCTGCGGGTCAAGTTTCTGGCCCGGGCGTCTGCCCGCGACCTCGGCCGCCGGGGCCCGTCATCGAGCCCAGGGGGCCACGAGGAGCGGATCCGGCGCGGGGACGTGGTCGGGGCCTCCGCGGGAGCCGTGCACTGAAACGGTATCGTTGGATGTCTGGGAGGCGTGCGGAGGAGGCGGGAGGCGGGAGGTAGGTGAGGAGGCAGGGGAGGAGGGAGCAGGGGGGGAGGTGGGCGCAGGGAGGTGGGAGCTGGGAGGTGGGGAGCTGGATGGAGGCGGGTGCTGGGGGGAGGTGAGAAGGAAGGGGGAGGTTGGAGGTGGAGGATATGATGTGGGGAGGGGAGGGAGGTGGGGCGGGAGGTAGGAGGTATGGAGGTGGGCAGAGGGAAGTGAGAGGAGGAAGAGGATGAGGACGAGGGCTAGGGTAAGCGTGGCGTTCGTTAGCGGTGCTGTGTCACGCCCTCCCGTCCCGATCCCCTCATCATGTTTCCCCGCACGCGTCCCCTTTTTTTCTACGGGGAGCCCCCCTTGAAAGACGATGTCCCCGGTGGCACTCCATGCGAGCAAGAGCACTACATTGACAACCCTCCATCGTTGTACCTATGGTAGGTGGCACGGGATATGTCTATAAATTTCAAGAGAGTGTCCAACGATGATTCGTTTTGAAATTCCCTTGCGACGTGCCCAACCCTTTCCATACATGTGGCGAGTATACTCTGGACCACTCAATGCTGACTGGCATTCTGAAGGACTCGCAGTGCGCAAGAAGAGCACCCAGCAGTGATTTCAGAAGAGCGCAGCAAGAAGAGCAGCGGCGAAAATACAACAGACACAAGGGGCGTTTGTGGTGGTCCGCGTATGACGTATCTCCGCTGGGCCTCCCAGGAGCCCACGAAAGTGCCGACAGTTTCGCAGATCGCAGCCCCCCTGGGCACCGCGAGCTATCGTGGTGGTCCGCACAAAGTACCTCCGCTGGGCCTCCCAGGAGCCCACGAAAGTGCCGACAGTTTCGCAGATCGCAGCCCCCCAGGGCACCACGAGCTATAGTGGTGATCTGCGTATGGCGTACCTCCGCTGGGCCTCCCAGGAGCCCACGAAAGTGCCGACAGTTTCGCAGATCGCAGCCCCCCAGGGCACCGCGAGCTATAGTGGTGATCTGCGTATGACGTACCTCCGCTGGGCCTCCCAGGAGCCCACGAAAGTGCCGGCAGTTTCGCAGATTGCAGCCCCCCGGGGCACCGCGAGCTATAGTGGTGATCTGCGTATGGCGTACCTCCGCTGGGCCCCCCAGGAGCCCACGAAAGTGCCGACAGTTTCGCAGATCGCAGCCCCCTGCGCATGACGTACCTCCGCTGGGCCTCCCAGGATCCCACGAAAGTGCCGACAGTTTCGCACATCGCAGCCCCCAAGGGCACCGCGAGCTATAGTGGTGATCTGCGTATGACGTACCTCTGCTGGGCCTCCCTGGAGCCCACGAACGTGCCGACAGTTTCGCAGATCGCAGCCCCCCAGGGCACCGCGAGCTATAGTGGTGATCTGCGTATGGCGTACCTCCGCTGGGCCTCCCAGGAGCCCACGAAAGTGCCGACAGTTTCGCAGATCGCAGCCCCCCCGGGCACCGCGAGCTATAGTGGTGATCTGCGCATGACGTACCTCCGCTGGGCCTCCCAGGATCCCACGAAAGTGCCGACAGTTCCGCAGATCGCAGCCCCCCAGGGCACCGCGAGCTATAGTGGTGATCTGCGTGTGACGTACCTCCGCTGGGCCTCCCAGGAGCCCACGAAAGTGCGGACAGTTTCGCAGATCGCAGCCCCCCCGGGGCACCGCGAGCTATAGTGGTGATCTGCGTACGACGTATCCCCGCTGGGCCTCCCAGGAGCCCACGAAAGTGCCGACAGTTTCGCAGATCGCAGCCCCCCAGGGCACCGCGAGCTATAGTGGTGATCTGCGTATGACGATCCTCCGCTGGGCCTCCCAGGAGCCCACGAACGTGCCGACAGTTTTGCAGATCGCAGCCCGACGCGGCACGAGAGGAGAGGAGGGGAACACAGGAAATAGGGGAGAAGGAAGGAGGGCTGGGAGAAAATACAAACGCTTTCCATTGTTGTAGATGCTGCGCGCTCGAACATGCCTTGCCATGCACACTTACACCAGGGATCATCATACTCCTTTGGTCGACAGGAAGCGCTATGGTGGGCGAGAGCAGGGGATGACGATGGTGGGTCCCTGTGTTCTCTACTGTCTACCCTCTGCTTTATCTTCTCTACCCTCTATTCTCTCCTCTCTCCTATCCCCCACCACCGTGCCACCGCAGCGCAGCAGTCTGTGTGGCGATGCCCAGAAGGCAATAGTTAGTGACATTTCTCGTCTTTTCCCTTGAGTGTCTCTCATGAGGCATACCTTCTTGGGGCTATCTTAGGCTCCTGTGGGGCCGTACTGGGGCCATCTTGGGGTCCTCTTGCGCCATCTTAGGGCCCCTCTGGCGTCGTCTTGGACCCAAGAAAAGTCTTGGAGCCCCGAATGCGCCGTCTTGGTTTCGTCTTCGTGAAGTCTCGGGCGGCTGTCTTTTGAACCCTCTTGGCTCCGGGGGGTTCGGAGGTGCCCGGGGGTGCCCGGAGGTGCCCTGGGGTGCCCGGGTGCCTGGGTGCCCGGGTGCTCTATCGCCCTATAGCCTTATAGCCTTATAGCCCTATTGTTCTATAGCGATATAGCCCTATAGCCCAATAGCCCTATAGCCCCATGACCCTATAGCCCTATAGCCCTATAGCCCTATAGCCCTATAGCCCTATAGCCCTATAGCCCTATAGCCCTATAGCCCTATAGCCCTATAGCCCTATAGCCCTATAGCCCTATAGCTCTATAGCCCTATTGCCCAATAGCCCAATAGCCCATATGGCCCATCTAACCCTATAGCCCTATAGGCCTATAGCCCTTAAGCCCTGCAGCTCTATAGCCTCATAGCCTTATAGCCCCATAGCCCTATAGCCCTACAGCCCTATAGTCTTAAGCCCTATAGCCCTATAGCCCTATAATCGTATGGCCCTATATCCCCATCGCGCTATAGCCATATAGCCCTGTAGTCCTATAGCACTACAGCCCTACAGACCTATAGCCCTACAGCCCTAGCCCTCATGGCCTTCATAGCTCTCGCAGACTTTATAAACCTAAGGAGCAATTACAAAATGATCTCATGTAAGATCAAACTAGTCTCTGATTGGGTTTTTTTCTGCTACCATTATTTTTTTCAACCACTTTGACGGAATTCTGCAAAACGGGCCTCATCCGCGCCGATGCCGGAATCATTCGAACGCCCTTGCGTGCGTGCTGGGGATGGGCACGGTCCGTGTCAAATAATGCCATGCGGGGCATTCTCGCGTGTCGGCCGCGCGCATGTCGAACTCCTTCCAACACCTTCATCGTCGTCGGCGTGGGCAGCATCGGCGCCGTCACTGGCCGTGCTGTCGTCGCTGTCAACATCGTCACCAGCATCGCTACTATCATCATCGTGTCTACCGTTGTCTATGTTGCCATGGTACCGCGCCCGCCAAAGTCGCCGACTCGCATTGAAGTGCCCGCTGGGATGTGCCCAGACGTCAGCGTCGTCGCGGCCGCGTCGGTCGCGCCAAAGTAGCTGGCCGCTGCGCGCGAGTGCATGCGCGGGCTGGCGCGGCCGCAGAGATGCACCAGTCAACGCCAAGCAGTCGTCGCAATCGCCGCCGCATGGGTTTTGCAAACGAAGTTGCGGGTGGGTGGGTGGGATGTTTGCAGGAGCATGGACTATGTCAGTTTGTTTGTATGAGTCACATGCACCACATAGGTTCTCCTTACATGTAATAGACTCTACCCCCCTCCCTTGGTATTATCGGCGCCCTTGTTCGTATTGCAATTTACATACAAGCCCAATTGCAGCAAATACCTGCGCGCGCACTCGTTTCTCACAAATCGTCAGTTTTCCAGATTCCCTTGTACGAGACATGAGACGTAGTGCGCACTCGCGCGTCGTCGCGCGCATGCCGGAATCTTTCAAACATTTTAGGTATCGGAAGGGTTTCCAATTCGAGTGCCCAAAGCATACAAAACACATGGTTTCGCAACACGGATTTCCCTGTAAAAAACGTGCGCGCGCGTTCTTCGGAATTCTTAAAACAACCTGAGAAATTTCAACATTCTCAGAGCATGCTACCAAATTGGCTGCGCGCGCCCATTTCGAAGTCGTTCGAACGCCCCTGCGCGCGTGCCGTCGCGATAATCGTTTTCAAAACATGGGACGAAGTGCGCGCGCGCGTCATCGCGCGCGCATGCCGGAATCCTTCAATTTTACTGGTTTCGTAACGGTTTTTTAACCGACTGCCAAACACACATTCAAACAACACATGGTTTCGCAGCATCAGTTATCAAAGAGCGTGCGCGCGCGCTCTTGCGAGTTCCAAGAAAAACCAGAGGGTTATTCAACATTTTGATGGAATTCTGCCAAGCGGGCCTCTCGCGCCGCAGGCCGACAGCATTCGCGCGCCTTTGCGCGCGTGGTGGGGTGGGGTGGGCGTGCGTCAAATAATACCTCGCGGGTCACTCTCGCGCATCGGCCGCGCGTGCATGGCGAATTCTTCGTTAAACTTTCATCGCCGACGCGATGGCGCCGTCATCGTCGTCGGCGTGCACCGTCACTGGCCGTGGTCGTCACTGTCAGCATCGTTACCAGCTTCGCGACTATCATCACCGTGTCTACCATTGTCGACGTTGCCATGATACCGCGCCCGCCCAAGTCGCCGACTCGTAGTGAAGTGGCCGCTGGAATGTGCCCACCGGTCAGCACCACCGCGGTTGCGTCGGTCGCGCCAGATTGCATGCGCGCGCATGCGCGGGTTGTCGCGGCCGCAGAGATGCACCAGCCAACGCCAAACACTCATCACAAGCGCCGCCGCATGGAGTGTGCAAGCCAAGCTGCGGATGGGTGGGTGGGATGTTTGCGCGAGCGGTGGAGTGGACAATTTCAAGTTGAGCATTGGCCAATTGCACCACGTAGACAGCACCGCGTATATTGCACCACCTGGACTGCACTACAACGGCTGCGCCGCATACGTTGCACCTAATATGTTGCACCACCTGTTTCGCTCTACTCATACTGCGCAGCGTACGTTTCTGGAAGCGCGCCGTTTGGGGTCCATGCTGGTCAACATCTGTGCCCGGGAACTGTTTTGGGCGAGTGCGCGCGGCGCGAACGCGAGGGCCACAGCTTGACAACGACCCGTTTTCCGTCCTTGTAGCGTTTTTATGTGTTTGTGTTTGTTTCCCCCCCTTTGCTCCTCCCTTTCCCGTTCGTCTGGGGGGGTTGCGAGCCTTGTTTTTTGAACGAAAGTCGGAATGCAATATTTTTTTCGCGATGCTGCATATCAGGGCCCACGTCACGAACAGCATCGTGTCGTCGGAGGGGAGCGGGCGTGCCCTTCTCGCGACGCCTGGAAACCCAGGCTCCCACACTCTTTTTGCCCCCCCCCCACTCAGGCGGTGCAAAAACAAAAATCACATCTTGAACGCGTCCCGACCATCATCCTTATAGCCTTTGCAAAACCTTTTAGGGCGGATGTGCGCTGGGCCAACGCGAGAGCCTCATCTCGAGCATCATGGGCGCTCTCGCCATCCTGATCGCCGTTGGAAGCTTTTACGAACATGTGCGTGGCTAATCCCAGAGCCACATCTTGAAATTTATTTGCGCCCTTCCTCCTTGTATTTGTTATGATTTTCAGATCGACCGTGTGCGGCGCAAGGACGAGAGCCACGCTTTGAAGATGACCCGCTCTTCATTCGTGTAATTGCCCAGAGTTTAAAGTTGCAGGGCACACATAGTATCGACGTTTCAGGCTGAACGCTCAGCCTGCCCTACTGACGCGTTTGGTGGTTCGACGAGGCGGCACCGTTTATGAGGAAGAGGGATGGAGTAGGAGGAGCACGAGGACGAGGAGGAATATGAGGAGGAGGCGCAGGAGGAGGAGAAGGAGGATCAGGAACATGAGCAGGAGGAGGAGGTGGAGGAGGAGGAGGAGGAGCAGGAACAGGAAGAGGGAGAGAGTGAGGGAGGGACGGGGGATGATAAGGATCATGAAGAGGAGGGTCGCCTCCCGCCTCGCCTTTCCTCCGCCCTCGTCCCTCCCTCATTGCTCGTTCTTTTCTTCCTTCCCTCTCTCCCTCTCTCCCTCCCTCCTCCCTCTCCCTCTCCCCCTCTCTCTTCTTCCCTCTCTCCTTCCCTCCTCGCGCCCACTCCTTGCCCTCGCTTCATTTTCCCCCCCCCCTCGTCATCTCTCCCTTCCTCCCTCCTCCCCCCTTCCCAGACATCCGACTTAGTGTTTTGTTTTGCCACGTGGCTCCCCAGAGGGATCCCTTCCTGGGACCTGGCTTTTCATCCCGAGTCACCGGCTTTTGATGGTCCCAGGGCCCAGAAAGGGGACCCAGGAGGAAGAGAGCATCCAGTGGAAACCCATGCCAAGACACACACTGCTTGTCTCCAGAGTGCCCTGGGTTTTGTTGGGTTTCGATGGTTTTTGTATGGAAATCGTGACGTCCCCACCGAAAATCAATGGACGTCCTGGGGTCTCAGGGTTGGGTTTCTTGTGGAAGGTCTCTCGGTCTCTGATGGAAGGTCTCTTGTGGTCGAGCTCCTACTGCAGCGAACGACCGAACCAACCGTGCCCTCTCGCGGAGCAAGGGTGCCACGGTTTCCCCTCCTGCCCGCTCCCCTCGGCCAGGACAGCCGGGACAACCTCGCGGACCTGCCGGCGTGCCCGGAGGAGGACACGGACGGCAGCTTCCTGCAGAAGGCGCCCCGCTCTCCGCAGACCCCCACCATGGGGGCCCAGCCCCGCTCCAAGAAGAACTGCGCGCGGCCCTCCGAGAGTTTAGAGATGACGGGGCAGCTTTCTCTCCTGCTGGACGGCGCTGGGCCCCTCCCAGGAGCTGCGGCGTGACGCCCGGCTGGCGGGCACCCGCCTGCCGCGGGCCCGCTTTTTTGCGCCGCGGGCGCGGGGCAGGGCTGCGCCCGCGGCGTGGCTCTGGGTGGCCGCCGGCCGCGGCTCTCCAGACTGCGCCGAGTGCCGGCGGGCGGCTCGGCGGCGCGGCGGATGCAGTGCATCGCGGATCCTCGTCCTCCCCCGGAGGAGACGAACCGGCGTGCGCCATGAGCTTTCGGAGGTCCGCGCGGACCGCTTGGATCTGCGCTGGTGCAGTTTCTCGCCTTGCATTCCCCTCCCCCCCTCCTCCCACGCTCGTTCTCCGCACCTCGTGCTGCCGCGGCACGTCGGGCCTCCTCCTCCTTCTCCCCCCATGCTCTCTTCCTCCTCCTCCTCCTGCTCCTCCTCCTTCCTCCTCCCTCCTCCTCCTCCTCCTCCGCCTCCTCAGACTCCGACTCCGGCTCCCCTTCCCACTCCCACTCGTTTCCCTCCCTTCTCCCTCATCCTCCTCCTCCTCCTTCTTCTCCTCTTCCTCCTCCTGCCTTAGAATGATGGCACAGCAGGTCCCTCCGTGACGGTGTTCATGGAAAGAGGGCAATGCGTCGGGCTTTGCCCGATTTGGCGTCAAAAGCGAAGCGAAGCCCCTTCTCCTCCGCTCTCTCCTCCTACCTCTCTTCTTCCTATCCTCCTCCTCATCCTCCTCATCCTCCTCATTCTCCTCCTCCTCCTCCTCCTCCTCCCCCTCCCCCTCCCCCTCCCCCTCCTCCTCCTCCTCCTCCTCCTCCTCCTCCTCATCCTCATCTCATCCTCATCCTCATCCTCATCCTCATCCTCATCCTCATTCCTCATCCTCATCCTCATCCTCATCCTCATCCTCATCCTCATCCTCATCCTCATCCTCATCCTCCTCATCATCCTCATCCTCATCCTCATCCTTATCCTCCTCGTCCTCCTCGCCTCCTCCTTCCTTCCTTCCTTCCTTCCTTCCTTCCTTCTTTCCTTTCTTTCTTTCCTTCCTTCTTTCCGTCCGTCCCCCCCGTCCCTTCTTCCCTTCTTCCTCCCCCCCCTCCCTCCCTCCCTCCTCCTCCCCTGCTGCTCCTCCTCGTCCTCCTCTTCCCTCCTCCTCCTCTCCTCCTCCCTCCTCCTCTTCCTCTTCCTCTTCCTCTTTTCCTATCTCCTCCTCCTCCTCCTCCTCCTCCTCCTCCTCCTCCTCCTCCTCCTCCTCCTCCTCCTCCTCCTCCTCCTCCTCCTCCCCCAAATTCTTGCTCAAATGTTCGTCCAGGGCCCGCGCCCCGCTTGCTCGCCCGCTCGGTACCGCTCCTCCCGCCCTCGCGTTTCTCTCTCGCGTCCCCCGGCCACCTTCCCCGCCCCGTGCCTGCCCCTCCCCCCCCCGCGGGAGGTGCAGGAGGCCATCGGGGAGGCCTGCACCTTTCCCGAGATCAAGTTCCCTCAGGCCTTCCCATGCCCGCGGCGCGGGGCGATCGGGGCTCTGAGGAGAGAGGGGGGGGGATGGGGATCGGGAGGGCGGCTCACGGGAGGACGGGGTCTGGGGGGTGGAGAGGGGGTGTTGGCAGGAGGTGCAGGGGCGGGAGTAGGGAGAGAAACGAGTGGGA